TTTGTATGGGCGCCAAAACCTCATTCACAATTTTATGATTGGTCAGCCGAAAATAGATATCCTAAAACATCTTTTGGGTTGGCAAGGGGGCAAGTTTGTTTACATATGAATCATAGCAGTTCCAAGACAGTCCCCTGATAAACCATGTAATGTGTTCAGATTAATTTTGCTCAATTTAAGAAACCCCATTTTGAAGGCAAACTACGTCGATAAATTCAATACAAATGATCCTGATATCGGTTTTTTAATCTGAAACTGTTTTCACCTTAAACTACTTCCATTAACCTGATTTAACAACTTTCCTCAGTTTGATTTTGAGATATCAAGAGCCTATGAAGGCTGAAAAAGTCAAAAGAATATCGATGACCTCCATCTTTGAGAGGTTAGTAGGTCAAGTCCCTGAGGGATGGTGTCCGCAGAAAATCCACCCATGAGTATGTGTTTAAAATTTACCAATAACTAGATTAAATTTTCTGAAACGGATGTTGCTTCCACTTTTACTTTTCTTTCCCAATATTGAAAAGATGGGATCAAAGAGAAATCCCTTTCCGCAATGATCAATTGAGTTGTCACCCAGCCAAAAATGGCAAAACACTACAAAAATGGGTTGCTAAACATAAAAGCGAGTAGGTGGGGATGTGTAAGAAGCACGCAACCAACTGACAAGACTGCATTTTTTTCTGCTCTGAGTGTTGCGAACAGAACGGTCATTTTGACGAGAAAAGAATGAAATTAAGCCCGTTGAACTTTCTTTTCATCAGAAAAACCAAAATTGGTTTCCTGCAGAACTTTTTTAAGGCATGGATTTATACATTTTTGTCATTTGTGTCCAAAAAATGGCTCAATAAAAAATTAACTTGATTTTTGGGATTTAATCGTGTGAATTTTGGCATTTCTTGCTTTATTAAAATTTGCTTTATTAATCCAAAAAATGATCATTATAGATTCATCAAGATGACTTGAAGTTTTTTTACAAGAAAATTGAATGTAGAATTAATTGTCAAATAAAAAAAATAGAAATTTGAGAATCAATAAGAAAAATAATGAAAGTTTTGCAATATTCAAACATCAATTTACTGTATTGACGTGCATTCAACGGATAATTTATTCAAAAATACCAATTCCACAAAGGTCTATCTATAATAATATGAAAGTTGTTCGATATGAACGAGCTAAAGACTTCCATAATTTTCTTACGCTTTTTGAAGCGGGCGCAAACGATTCTTAACTTTTTTTTTGTTTTTCAATTTTCTATGAGAAATTTCCATGTTTTCCGCTCTTTTCCCGGTCACAGAAACTTTCTCGGACACTATTTTGAAAGTTTCGCCAAAAAAATCAAGATTTATGTGCCCTTGTTTTCTTGTAAATTAAATATGTGTATGAAATCAGTGGTTCGAAAAGATGTTTACGAATGGTTGTCCGGTAAAAAGAAATATCGAAATTTTGTTAAGGGGGATCGCTTAATTTTAGGAGCTTACAGCTCCCCCATTCTTCAAAATGTCTACCTCCCATTAACAGACACCGTTAATTCACTATCTTCAGTTCATTCACAGACTTTTTTCCTGACATATTTCCAAACATCTAAATACTAACAAAGCAACAGTTTTTTGGTAATAAAATTAGAGTTTTGATCAAATTTGTCTTCAGTTTCAAATAACTTTGTCGTTTGCAAACTTCCAAGTGAGCCCAAAAAAGAAGGCATTCCAAATTACGAATGCAACAGGGAATATAACTCGACTCTTTCTGTCAACCAAGGCAGCCTTGTCGTCATAGAAGTCTTCTAGAACATTCGGATGAGAATCGAAATCGCAGTTGTTGTTGTCCGTAATGTCAATACTCAATTCTGATTTTGTCAAATGCGACATTTTTTGGTCTTCGTTCTAAACATAGACAATTGACAAAAATTCATAAACATTTACAATGTTTTTTTTTAAAATAAAGAGTATTTGTTTACACGCACGCTTCTTTGAGAACCAAAAAACGGCTTTTCAGAAATTTTTTCAAAACTTTCAGATCTTTTGTCGTAAACTTCATTCTGATGTCATACATAACACAGCGTTCCAAGATGAAATAATAATACATCAGTATTGATAAGATGGTTCTTCTACAGTCGGAAATGCAAAAGGTTCCACCAAATAGATTGGAAATTATAAATTATACCATTCAAATTGTATAAGAATTGAAATCAGATAGAGAAAATTTATTTAACCTCGAGGGTTCTTAGCTGTTTTTTTTGCCTTGATTTCGGGTGCGAGTGTTTAAACATGACTGACTTGGAAGATATTATCTAATACATCGAGGCGACAGACATATCAATAAACTGGAAAGTAAGGAAATTTTAACTTTATTTGAAAGAAAAAATGACACATCTGAAAACGAGAGATTTTAATATAAGAAGTTTTGTTTATTGTTACGATCATTGGAAATGGGGAGGAATTTTTTTTTCGCGTGTGTTTTAATGTGTTTCCTTTTTTTCCACTAAAAATCAAGTGCCACATATAACCATCGGACCAGGTTGAATGATATATCATATTAAAGCCCTTTCAGTCGTGATTCAAACTTTTGCAGTGTCGAGAAACACCGATTTTAAAGTTTTGCTTTTTCGTCCAGCTTCGGTGATAACTAGCTATACTGTTCATTTAGGCTAAAATAATTTAATTTTTTCCTATAAAAACTAATTATGAAAGCTTTAATTACGACTTCCTTGCCAAACAAAGCTTTTTTAAGAAAAAAAAATTGTGCAAAAATATAAAAGTTTTTTTTTAAATATATTTTTTTTTTTGCGACTCTATTTTTGAAGATAACTGTTGCCAATTATGCCTAATTTACTACTTTTTTACTCGTGTGTATACTTATCTGATCACACCTCTCACACAAATTGACACTAATTGAATTTCTGATTTTTGACTAAAATTGTTATTGAATAGATTTTTCGAATTTGCTTTTTTTGAATTGACATTCAGCTATATTAAATATACAAGTGAAATATTTACAGCGGTTTTCAAAAATGAAAACAAAGTATGTTTGAAAAAAAACTTTTGTCACTAAATAAAAAATTAAACGCCCCCAAAAATTATTTGGTAAAACGTTTGTTTGAATACAAAACCATTTTGAGCTTAAAAAATGATTTAAAAAAATAAAAAAATTGGAGGATATATGAAACTTTAGGTTGCAAAAATTTATTAAAAAGTGTCAGAAAAAAAGTAGCCATAAAATGCCTGTGATCATTGTTTTTAGAGTTAGGTTGATTTGAAAATGACTCAATTTGTCAATTGATTTGAGGCAAGATAATTTGTGTTTTTAAACACGTTGCTGAAAATTAAAAATTTCACTCTAATTTTGGCATAACATGTGTGGAAATTTTACAAAAAACCTAAATAAAATTGTTTTTTTTTGGTTTTTTCATACATCACTTTCAGGGGCGAATTTAGGGAGGGCGGGGCGGGGGGCGTCCGCTTTCTCCCCTCAGGGATTCGACCCCCTTCCGACCCAAAGGGTCCCCCCTTTGTACTATTTTGAGATATCCATATTTGGTGACGGACCCTAAAACTTCTAAAAGCGCCTTTGGCCGCCAATATATACTTACTTTAAGGGGGGAGCGCGCGCTAAAAAAACGCAATTTTTTTTGTCAACATTTTCTAAAAAGTGCCTAAAAACGTCTTTTTTGGCCTGTTTTTCAAAATTTTGCGTGCGGCGTAGAAAATTTGACCAAAGCAGGGTCTTTTTAGTGTTTTGGAAGGACTCGGAAAATCAATTTGGTCAACCTAACAAAAGGCCGACAAAACTTTCGAAAACTTTTGAAAATCTGCCCCCCTCTCGTGAAAATCCTAGATCCGCCCCTGATCACTTTGTATTCGGCATAACGTGTGGATGAAATTACAAAAAAAAATCAAATAATTTTCATTTTTTAAAAAAAAAGTTTTCTTTTGATGTTTTCAAACTTTGTTTCAAAATGTTGAATGAATGGGAACATTCAAGTTTTAACCTTGATAAAAACTGTCTAGTAGAATTTTAGGCGCCTGTCTTTAGTTCCCTGAAACGCAGCTAAGTCCAAACGATTTTCTTTTGGTTTTTATCAGTGATGTCTTTGAAAAAAGACATTTTATACTATGGAGGAAAAGACGTCTATAATTCGAAACGATGTAAAAAGCGATTTCAAGTGTCTCCTGAGTAAAAAAAGTTTTTTTTTAGCTCCCACTTTCAAAGAAAATGACAGAAAATTTGTGTTTGGGTGTTTTTTTTCTACAGACAAATTTTGACTGATTCGATTGAATTCTCGTCATGCATGTTTCATGTAGTGAATCTGTGTGACTTGTTTTTTTTTCTCTGAAGAAAGTTTAAAAAAAAAAAAAATTGGTAAATTTTTGTGTGGGTTTCTGCGAAAAAACAGTGCCGTAAGAATTTAAGTTATAGGTCAAAAGAGCAAAAAAACTTGATAAGAGATAGTGAAATAACATTATTTCAACGCGTTATTTCTTATCCATTCAATCCACAACCGTAAATTTGTTTCAAAAGCGGAAGTTTTTAGACCATTTTTTCTCAGATCATCTACGAAGTTGCTTTGAGCGACCCAATGGAAAAGTTTGAAAAGCCCTCATGCATGACCATAGTTCCTTCTCATATTTTTAAGAGTAGTCAGATCAAAGACACGAAATCCACACTCATCGTTGTAGAGTTTTTGCATTAAGAAATGGTTTGCCTTAAAAAAAGTAAAATGAGTTTACGTTTAAAAGACTGTCCTTTCTTTTCATTTTGTCAGTGACGTGAGCATTGTAGTGGACTTTGTGTACTCTGTATGCACACTTCCGGTTAATGAACACAGCAGCCAGCACAGTCTCGATTAGAGATGCGATGTTGAAGAGAAAACTGACTATGAGGTAGAAGTCCACCATCTTGAAGTCACTCACTGAAGGAAATCTTTGGGCCACCCCTGTTACTAGAACTATCTGGGCAAGGGTCAATGTGATGGTCAGTCCCGCACGTTCTGGCGTGTTTTTTGGGTCGATCCAGAAATTCACCCAGCTGAAACAAAAGTGGGTTGTGAAAAAACTAAGTTAAGACAACAATGCTCGTATCAGGGCGAAGCCCTGAATTTTCCGACTGCCGCTTAAGGTCTATGGAGTAGTGATCGCTTAAAACCTTGATTAATCTTTCAAAAAAATTGGCTACCTTTCAAAAAAATTGGCTTCTGCTTGAACTTTACGAAATAATGATCACAAGTGAAATACACTACTTTGCGGCTGATATAAAAATATTCCGCAAAAATGGTTAGTTAAAAAGCCGAAATTTGTCAGGAAAAAAACTACCTCAAGCGCAAATATTCCGTCACTTTCATCGAAACGACAAAACAAACATCAAAAAATGATATTTCATAGATAAAACTGATTCGCTAAGTCATGTCTTATATAAATATACTGACGTTATTAATAATATTAATTTTATTTTCTAATAAAAACATTTAATTTTCTGTTTTGAGCAATTAGTGGGGTATAAACAAAAAAAAACCAAGTTGTTTTTAGGGAGAATTGAAAAACAACAATTAAACTGCGTTTTAGACAAAAATAATTGAGTCAATAAGTTATAATATGTCCACTTATTATAGAAACTCGGGTAAAAGTATGATCGTTGGGTCCCTAATTTTGAATGAGAAGCTGAAGAACAGTTTTTAGGCTTCAAAATCCCCAAAAACATAGTTCGCTTTTCACTTGGGTTTTTAAAGTTTTCAAAAAACTGCAGGACCCATCTTTGGTTCTTGCTTTCTCTTGGAACCCAACTATGTATCGAAACTTAGATTGTCAAGCTCATAAAATTGAGATTTGAGTTTGGCGTTCAAATGTGTTACTACTTTCAGAAATTTTTGTTACTTTTGCTGCGCCAAATGAGAAACTTTAGTGTTCCGCGAGTTTCTGAAGAACAATTGATACAAATTGAACAAATTGAACATTTGGACATTGCATATTACTGCTATTACACGCCAGTTTTACTATCCAAACGGGTTACCATAACTTTAGCATAAAAAGAAATCTGCATAAAAATTTGAAATTTTTGAAAATATGTTCAATTACATATTAGCCACTCAGATTTCACAATATTGTTTCTATCCACAACATTCCGGTTACCGATCTCATTATTTTATATCAGAAATTTTGCTGCAAAGGAGCACAACAAAAATATTGACCTAGCTAGTATTCGGTTTTGTGTTTAAAAAAATAGTTAAATAAGAGAAAAGATTCATGCATCTACCATTAAATGGCCTTGCACAAATGTTCACTTTTTTTTTAGAATCACGATATTTTTTGTTCGTCCACATTAGCAAATTTACTTACAAAACATACGCGATAACACGAAAAAAGAGCTAGCTTATGCTAAATTATCTATATGCTATTATAAATAGCCCCCATTCAAACATTCCAGTTGTATATCAACCACGCCTTTTATCTGGGATAAATTGTTTCACAAACTCTAGCACGAACATTTTTACACTAATTTTTTCACATCTTAAACTAACAGTCTTGAAATACTATGGCAAGTAAAACGTTCCAACGCTTCATTCCGGTATTTTTACACGTAACTAGAGTTTTTTTCCGACTTTTGTGACAAAAGTAACGAAATATTTGTGCTCGGGGTGGGTTTTTTTCTTCAGAAAAATTTCGACTTTTTAAGTAGCCTTTTTTGACAGAATTTTTAAAATATCAATCGAAAGCTATTGTTGCTGTGAGCTTAAATTTGAAAAGATATTTCACCTGTGATCATTTTTTGTAATGTTATGGGGCTTTATAGATCGCCATTTTGGCCAATTTGGGACAATTAACGCGCGATATATTTCGCGCTATTAACGCGTAAGCGGAGATTTAATCCGTCTTAGAAAACGTTCCAAATTTTTTCAAGGATGCTTATATGCCGTAATTGATTGTTAATAGGAGCGAAATCTATCACGTTGTACTTTATATCGCGTGTGAGGGGATGATTTTCACTAAAAAATTCTCGAATTAAAAAAAGAAATTATTAAAATTAACTTTATCAAGTTACTACTGCTCGATAGACCATAAAAAGCAGCGGAACATTCAGGGCTTCGCCCTGATACCAGAAGTCTTGTTGTTCCGACTTTCGATACGAAAGTAATGGAATATTTGTGCTCGGGGTGGGTTTCTTTTTTCTTCAGACAAATTTCGACTTTTTAACTAGCCAGTTTTGACGGAAATTTTTATATCATTGAAAAGGTTTTGTTGTCTTGAGCTTAAATTTGTTAAGATTTTTTACCTGTGATTTTTTTTGTAAAGTTATGAGGGTTTAAAATTTGCCATTTTGACCAAATTGGGACAATTAACGCGCGATATAATTCGCACTATTAACGCGTAAGCGGAGATTTAATCTGTCTTAGAAATCATTCCAAATTGGTTGAACGAAGTTTATTTGCCAGAATTGATTTGTTACAAGGAACGAAAACTATCCTTTTGTACTTGATATAGCGTGTGGGGGGATGATTTTTTTAAAAAAATTCAAATTTAAAAAAATTTTCATTTTTTTTTGTTTCATTTAATTTTTTTATGTTATTACTGCTCCATAAAGCTTAAAATGCAGTCGGAACATTCAGGGCTTTGCCCTGATACGAGAAGTCTTGTATATTTTTACTGCCTATTGACAACGTTTTCTTCAAGCCTGCTTATTTTTCTATCATTTTCTACCCTCGCCATCTTCTGATTGTAGTGTGACTCATTGGACAATATCATTGCTGCCTTCTGTCTTTGGGTGAAACTCTCAGACGCTTTAACGCTTAATTAATTTCATCGAGATCTCTCAATGCGCTAAACAGAGTAGCTGGTGGATGGTTTTTTGAAATGTATTCCGCAAACAATGTCGGAATAGGGCCTTTTTAATGGCTTTTTTGCGTATAGTATTAACTGCTCTGCAAACTTCACTGGACATCAATATTTTTCTTTCCGAATCCTTAGGCAATAGTTTAACTTATTCGGTAGTTATTCGTTGTAGTTATTACACTGGCTTTTATGATCTTGTCTTTAGTTGCCTTTGTGCAGCAGCCGTTTTTTCAGCAATCAGTCGTTTCATCAGCGGGTTCAAACTGGCCAGTCATGACCCTTGCTGTTTTTTTTTTCATTTTCCTCGTCAAGCTTGACAATCATGGGAGGAGCAGAAAGCTAGAGGGTAACGAGCGAATGATTACCACGGAGAGAACCCGCATGGAAATTTCATGTATAGAAAACGGTTATAATGGATGTTTACAGTCTGTCTTTATAAAATTCTTAAATAATTGGTTATAACGGATTAACAAAGTAATTTTGTGAATGAATGTTCAAAAAGTAAAGTAATAAAGCAGAAATCACTTTACTTTATCATAACGGATTATAACAGAAAACGAAAAATACAAAAATATATCGGATTTAATAAAAGTTTTATGATTAAGAGCCTGCATTGAGTTTTACCTTTTGCTACAGCAAAACGTTGTATTGTTTTCTACTAGTCTACATGTATCTCCTAACCCCAGTTTCTTCGAACTAACTCTCGCAATTCTTAGTTCTTTCACTTACCACCATCACCCCTCCGCCCACCACTTACCCCCACTTACATTTTTTTTAAAACGCAAGAAAAAAACGTGAATGCCCCCAACATACACGCACACCCCTTTTTCCCCCTACAGACTTTTACGAGAAACAAATGGGGTTGAAAACGTCTGGAAAGTAGGGCAATCTTATGGGTTTATGGTGGTGGGTAAAAAGGACAGTAGTAATCGGGGTTTGAGGACGCTGTAATTGTGGGATGGGGAGTCTAGGTGTATGTGGCGATGCTGGGTATGTGTGTGTGGGGGGGGGGGGGGTGCTGGAAGTATTTGGGGGCGGGGTACGGTTTTGCAAACGTTAAGTAATGTGTGTAGATTTAGAAATCAAAAAGGTTGTAAAAACTGCGAAAAAAAAATATTTTCATCTCTAAAAATAATGGATTATACTCGATTTCATGGTGTCAAAATGTAATTATGACCGATTATAATGGCAACCTTTTTTACCACAAAAACTAAGAAAAAACTTCACATTGCGGACGGTTTTCGATTTGTTCTAATTGATAATTGACTCAATCAATAACTAAGAGTTTACTCAATCGATAGAAATTATCAATAACTCTTTGATTCAAATAGACGTAAATCATATCATGGGGAATACTTCAAGTTTCAGATTTCAGAGAGACGGATAACAAAAAGCAATTAGCCCGCAAATGAGCTGTAGAAGTATACTAGTGGACAAAAGTAAGCTCAAATTCATGTTTTTATTCTCTAAACTTCTTGTTTTCAATGTCCATTTTGGACATAAACATTTCAATTTTTAGCACATTTGTTACCTGAACCAAGAAAAAAGTATCAGAACCACCCTTTATGAAAGTATCGTTATTTATTTCTTGTAGTTCACCAATTTAATTCTAGTCTGAATAAGCCAGATTTCCTCTTCTGCATTAAGTTTTGAACAGCAGTGAGCTCTTTCTCGAATAAGCGCAGTAAAAAAACTGTATATGCGACGTGAAACATTCTCATTAAGAAAAAAGAAATAATCAGAGTGAAAACTTTATTAAACTCGGCTCTTTTTTATTTTTTTACGCGGATAAAAAAACTTAGTACAGACGAGGAAGTCTGGCATTTTCAGAGTCGGATTACATTGTTAAGTGTTTGAAACAAAATTTTGATAGAATCATAGATGGAAGCTCTGATAATTTTTTCTTGGTTTATGTAATAGCTTCGCAGAAAAACGAAGAAATTGTAGTCAAACAATATCATTGACAATTGGCATTTTAGAGAGTAAAAACTAGAACTTTCGCTTAATGATGCCCACTAGTGTAATTTGAGAACATTTTTCAAAGAGAGAAAACATTAGTTTAAGCATGTGAAAAACCAGTGAAAAACAAGTATGAACACAAAAATGTTTTCATTTTCGCAATTGTTTTTTTATGCACGAGGGAACTAATTCACAGTGATTCTATTTCTCAAGTGCGTGAAAAAACAGTTGCGAAAATGCTTTAGT